CCGGGGGGCGGTGGCTTCCTGTGGGAGGGGCCTGGCGTGGCGGTTCCGGCCTCCGAGGAGGGGTGTCCCGGCTCCTGCCCAAGCGGGGTGGGCGCGCCGCGGTCCGCGCGCGGGGGTTGTTCTGAGATGCGCGCTGAGGAAGTCAAGGGTGGAGCGGGGAGCAGGTCATTCTTGAAGAGGAGAGGAGCTTAGATGCCCAGGGATGGAGGGAAGGAAGGGGCGACTTGGGACTGAGCTGAAACAGGGTGCCTGAGAATGACTTCGAGGGAAAGAGGGAGAAATAGATGAAGATGCTTCCTAAATCCCATCTGAGACTCTCTTCCTTCCTCTTTTAAAATGATTGTACCAGAGACTTTGATTTCGGTCCCATTCAGTTTATAAACTTCAGGAGGGATCACACAGCCTTGATCATTTTGCTGTCGTCACACACCGCCCACCTTGGTCTTGCTTGGGTAGGGTTTCCACTTCTTGAGAACTTTGCCTTTCAGATCATTTTTCTTTGAGATTTTGTCAGATGAGGTCATCTTCGAGGCTTAAAAAATAAAATAAAAAAAGTATGCTGTGGCCATAAAATGGCTTTTAGTCTAAACTGTTGACCGCGACCTAGCCCAGCATTACCTCAGCAATATAGTGTCTGCTGAAACCTGGGACAGAGGAGTGTTTACCTGTGCTTTATGACTTTTCTTCTTTCTTTGGTCTGAATTATTCAGCCTCCCTTACCACGTGACTCCTTATCTTCACAAACTGTAACTAGGTAGGGTAACTGAGAGGTCTGAGTTTTGTTAGCAAGAACTCTGACCTGAATCATGATTTTGAGATTAAATATCTGCGTTAAAGCTGTTTATCCCTCCTCTTTGTCTTCATGTTTACTAAAATTTGCAAAAGGGAAATGAATTTCATGAATGCAGTGTAACTGGAGTGAACATTCAAACTGGACATTCACAGGAGCCAGAATCGTTTTGGGTTTCAAGTTGGCGAAAAAAGTACTTATGTTTATAAGTCCAAGTTTCTGGAGTATTTGATGAACATATTTAAATTAATTTTTGCAGCAGTCCTGTGAGTTAGGTTGGAAAGGTGTTATTCCCATTTCACAATGAACAAACAGACCTAAGAGAGATGAATTGATTTTTAACAATTTATTGCTTTTTCTTGTTTGCTGTCCCTTTCTCCCTTTTAACCAGTTGTTGTTGAATTGGTTAGACTTATGGCCACCCCAAGTGTTGCAGAGTAGAACTGCTCTCCACAATGTTTTAAAGCTATGACCTTTCTGAAACATCACCAGGCCTTTCTTCTGAGGCGCCTCTCCATGGGTTCAAACCGCCAATCTTTCGGTTAGTAATCGAGAGCTTAACCATTTGCCATACAGGGACTCCTCCTTTTCTCCCTACTAGACTGCAGATACCTCAAAGGCAGAGTTCATATCTTATTTGGCTGCTAGCCTTGGGCCTGTCGTGTTGTAGGCACTTGGCAAATGTTTGAAGAATAAATGAATTTCTAGAGGTCACACACTGGCAAGTGGCAGATCTTCTATCCTATCTCTTTTGTTGTTAGACAGGCTTGCTGTTTTCTCCGTTTTGGTCTACATGAAAATGATAGGCATGGGAGAAAGACTTCATTTGGCTTCTCAGTCTTTTCCACTTTCTTCTACTACTTTCCCATTTACAAAGAGCTTACATAAACATCTCATTTAATCTTCACCAGGATCCTGTGGAAGTAAATATTGTCCCCACTTCACAGATGAAGAAACCAAGACTTAGAGATGTTCTTGCTTTAGGTCCCAGAGCTGGTAAATGACCAAGCAGGGAGTTGTGCCCAGGCCTTTTTATCCCTAGAGTTGTTCTTTGTCATCTATGGAAGTGATAAAGCGTTATTTTAAAATATTTTTTCAAGAATGAAAAAATACAGCATTTTAAGAAAAAACATTAATAATAAAGGTCACAGCAAAAACTGTGCATATGGAATGGGAATAACTGAAGTTTAGAAATCCCTGTACTATGCCATAAAAGCAAACCAAACCTGTTGCTGTCAAGTCGGTTCTGACTCATAGCAACCATACAGGACAGAGTAGAACTGCCCCATAGAGTTTCCAAGGAGCAGATGGTAGATTTGAACCGCCGACCTTTTGATTAGCAGCTGACTGCTTAACCACTGCGCCACCAGGGCTTCGTACCATGCCATAGTTGCCTCTTATTCCAGGGGAAACATTCTTTCATTCAATGACTAAGTGCCTACTCTATGCGAGACATTGCTTTGGAGTTACGTTGTCCAGTATGGTGGCCGCTAGCCATATGTGGCTATCAAGCACTTTAGATGTGCTGTAAGTATAAAATTTTGAGTACTTAGTACAAAAAAAAGTAGCATATCTTATTGGTATTTTTATATTATTTACGTTACTGTATATAGTATAAATGTTAACATTTTGGATTTATTGGGTTAAATGTGGCTCTTAGACAATGAAAAGTTACATGTGTGGTTCTTATTTGTGGCTCTCTTTATGTTTCTGTTGGACAGTGCTGTTCTAGACACGGGGACTACGGTAGTACACAAGAAAGGCAAAAATCCCAGCCCTTGTGGATCTTAAATTTTAGTGGGGAAGGGCACATAAGAAAAATAAAGAAGTAAAATACGTATTGTGAGAAAGCAGACCAGGGATGTAGAGTGTCAGGTTGGGTTGCAAGTTAAATAGGGTATGTAAAAAAGCCTCCCTGAGAAGGTGATGGTTAAGGAAAGATCTGAAGGTAGTGAGGGAAGGAGCCATGTGGCTAAATGGACACATGGTGGTTCAAGCAGAGGCAACAGCAAGTTCAAAAGGCCTGAAGAGGGAGCACCCCTAGTATGTGAACCAGCCAGGAGCCCAGGGTAGCTGGAAGGAAGTGAGGGAAGGGGGATAGTGGTAGGACCTGAGGTTAGGGAGGTATTGAGGAGCAGAGGGAGAGATGGGCAGGTTGTGCGGGGCAATTGTAAGGATGTTAATTTTCAGTCAGAGTGAGTTGGGGCCATTGAGGATTTTGAGCAGTGGAATGACGTGATTTATCCTACCTTTTAACGGACTCGCTTTGGTTGGTTTATGGAGAGAGAGTAAAGGGAAGTAAGGGTAGAAGCAGGGAGAGAAGTTAGGAGGCTATTGCCATATCCAGGTGAAAGATGGACCAGAGTGGTAGTGACGGAGTGGTGAGAAGCAGTTGGATTCCGGATGTATTTTTAAGCACAGCCAACAGGATTTGTTTATGAGCTGAGTTGGATATGGGCTGTTGGAGAAAGAGAAGAGTCACGGATGACTCCAAGGTCTTTGGCATGAACAACTGAAAGAATGGAGCTAATTAACTGAGATGGTGAAGACTGTAGGAGGAGCAGGGTTGGAACTCAGTTTTGTTCATGTTGATTGTAAGATGCCCATTAGAAATCTAAATGAAGGTATTGTGGGCAATTAGGTACAGAAGTCTGGCAGCAGTCCTGGGATGGAGATAATATATGTGGGAGCTGTTAGCATGTGGATAGTATTTAGAGTTGGAGACTGGGTGAGGTCACCAAGGGAGTAGTGTAGATACATATCCAAGAGGAGTGCTTCCTGTTAGAAGTTAAATTTTAAAATAAAATCTTAGCTTATACTATTATACTAGTAGATGTTTTAAGTACATCAAAGCATTGTAGGATGTCTGTGAGAACTTAGTTTTCTCTCCATTTTGCTTTTTGTTTAGAGATCCTTTTGAAAACCACAAGCTAATGGATTTCATTCCTTCTGGAGGAGGCTACTCTTACAAGTGTGCATTTTTATAGTGCCACCAAAATCAATTTCAATGCCACTTTCTGGAATTAATCTGGCTTTCTGGGTTGACAACCAGTTTAGAGACCTCCAGGAAGGATGGGTAATGAGTTTTTAGAACTTTAAAATGTTGTTTTTCCCAAACATGTGTTTAGTGCATATCGTTTGTCAGACATCCCACTATTTCACAGATTTAAAAAAAGCAGAACCCCACTGGGGTGAAGTGACCCAAGTGAGGTCGTGTAGTTAAGCAACTGAAGAGCTGGGCTTTGAATCTTGGTCCTCTGAGTCCAAATCTGTTGCTTCGATCTGTATGCTAGTGTGGTAGTGGATGTAGGAACATAAACTCCCATGGGAATCCATGAATGAATGGTTTTTAAGGGACTTTGAGTCACTTCAGTCTCTTATGGACTCTGGAATTTCTGAGAGGTACTAAGAAAGGGGAATATCTTGTTTCTGCTAGCAAAAAACCAACTAGAATCTTTTTTAGAAGGTTGCAGCTCCCCACTCCTCCTGATCTTCCGCAGTTTGTAAACAGATGTTCAGTGATTTAAGTCAAATGTTAATCACTACTCCGAAAATCCCAAATACCAGGACTGGGCAGTCCTGACTTAGGACAAGGTCTTTTCATGTGTCACCCATGCCTTTTGCTTTCCTGTTTTGTCCTGCGATCTGCTTTCCTATCTGTTTTTATTATTATTAACCTAATTCCACTGCGCTTCCAATGATATGACTCCCTCCGCTTCTCCCACTTTTTACGTGCTTCCGTCTTTTGTACACATGGCATTTGGCAAAGTTTGGTTCGGTTTGATTGTTTTTCAGTATGGGCCTTCGGAGAATGAAAAGTAACTCAATGCTGGACAGAGGAAAGAAGCCAACAAAAAAACATTAGTGTTGGAAACTGGAAAAGCATAAGAGTGTGAGGGAAAGGAGGGATCTTTTGGACAGACCCTTCTCTTGCACATTGTGCTAGAGGTCGATGTGGAGTTGACCTATAGTTAGAAATATGCAGCTCTGTTGGTTTCTACAGCTAGTTAATTCTGCTGGTGAGTCATTGTTCCTACTCTTCCCTGGCTCATCTCT